ACTATTTGTGTGAAAGCAAATCTTTGCGTTCCTGGATGTAGCCTCAGTGTATAATGTAGTCTTACTGTGTATCTTAGTAGCTTCCTGTCCATGGTAGGGTAATCAAAGATTATCTGAATGCAAATCAGGGCTACATCCACTAGCTTACTTAACGCAGCAGCTGGGAGCGTCTTAATACAAAATGGCAGCTCCTCTCCTAGAGCTCGTGAATTCTCTTGGTTCCCCACACTATGAAGAAGGTCTACGAGAGACACCCTTCACGTTTCCCAAATGACTTTTACCCGAGTTTGCTGCAACGCAAGGACCTAGAGAGAATGACCATTCCACTGTAGCGACCCCTATAGATCACGCAGCCGCCGAGGTGCCCAGGCTCTGCACAGATATATAAGTTTTCACCCAATTTCAAAACAAGAGTCGCCGTGCAATTAGGGTTTATCTGACTCCTTCTGAAGTGTCCCTAACTCATGCATTTGAGGCACTCGTGAGAATGGCCGTCTCAGGCGGAGGCCTAGCCTGCTGCATTCGCAATCCCGAGGCTCCTCCACTGTCTGCCTTCCCACAGAAGAGTGATGAAGCCAGACAGGAGGAAGACTGTAGCTGTTTTTCTGAATGCTTCACAAGTACTTTTCTTGGACAAACACAAAAGCTCTATGAACTACACAGAAAGGGAAGGCTCCTACGGGCTGCTGAGGCTGCAGGGGTTTAGAAGACATTTGCAGGAGCAAGGTGCAAGAACAGCGATGCAACACAAGGGACCCGGTGGCTGGCTGAGAACCCAAGCTGCAGGCTGGGGATGCAGCCACGGGGCTGAGCACTTGTCCAGCAGGCCAAGGCCCTGATTCCATCCCTGGCACTGTGGGAACAAATCAAAGGGCCTCAGCAATCGGCCATGCTACACTAAACCAGGGTGATTAACTGATAGTGAATCAAAGTAATACCTTATAGATAAAAATAAGAAAGAATTCCTTTTGGGGATGGTAGGGGGAGAAAGAAAAAAAAAAAAAAAACCAAAACCAAAACCAAATCTCACTTTCTTGCTCATCTTTCTGATGTGAAAGACCCCAAAAGCCTGTTTCTGGTCTGAGGCAGAAACACTCTCTAGACTCTTAGACAACTATCTGCCCAGTGCCACACACAGTCCCACTCTGTCCATGGTGTCTGGCTCCATCTGCCCCATAGTCTTCTACAATCTTCCTGATGCCACCTGCAGAGCAGACACTGAAAAGGCTCAGTGGAGGTCAGTCCAGGACCTGCTCGCAGCACAGAGGATCTCCCTGGAGCTGAACAGTCAGCCTCTCTTTGCAAAACTGTCTTTATGGACATAATGGTAGAAGAATGTCTCCACTAGTGCCGTGATATGCTAAGGTGGAGGCATAGTAGGTGGAGATTTGAGATTGACAGACCAGACTGTACTTCAGGGACAGAGTTGGCATAAGAAGTCAAGGATCCTGGACAAGGAACACAAGGCATGGACCTGCTCACCGTGAAGGAAAAACCCTGCCACTCCTAGAAATGAGACAATCTTTAGATGATCTGAGAAGGCACAAGTCCTGGTGCTATCTCAAAGCCTTCAGGGCAGTCAGCGCAGACTGAGAATCCAGCACGTTAGGGCCCCAGAGGAAGAGTGAAGGAATTCTGTGGAGAGGCTGAGGCAGGTGGGTGAGGTCCTTTAACACCCGGGGACAGCATGGCAGGCTGACCTAAGAGCACCACTACCCTCCGGTCTCTGCGAACTCGTGTCCTTGCATTTCTGAGTGTGCTCTCTGGGCTTTGTTGAGGCATCCATTTTCCTGTACAGTTTTTCTATCTAATCAAGTGGGAACATTTTGTTTTGAAACTTTTTAAAAATCTTATCAGGCTCGTGGTGGCCTTGTAGTACCAGAGACACCTGGAGGGACTGAAGAAGCTGCGCTCTGGAGAGAGCACAAAGTTGGGATGCAGGTTACTGGGCTGAGGGTGGAGATGGGCACATCCAGCAGCTGGACGGTGGCTGTGGGCTTCCATCCATGGGAGCATGCAGCTGTGACAGATGTGTGTCCCGGGAGAGGGGCTTGGATCTACATGCTCCAGGGTAAGAGCTGCCTGATAGAAAGGACACCACAGCTCCTGAGAGGGACCAAAATCCCTTTCATGGTTCATTCTTTCACTACAAAAGTTCTGGGTGGCCAAGAAGGCATCCAGAGTTGGGCAGCACAGAACCCTTCAATGAGGTGAACAATCTCGGCACAAAGTTTTCAATCGGTCAACAGGCACTGAGCGTCCAGCTCTATGCCACTGTTCTAGGCACTGTGGGGAGTAACAGCAGAAAGCACCTGGGGGCGCTTACTGTGTGCCAGCACCTCAGGGACTTCTCATGTATTTCTTACTACAAGCCTGAGATCCTCATTTGCATCTTCCCCAGCCTGAGGTTCAATGTCATGATCAAGGTCAGAAAGCCGGAAGGCCGAGTCAGTCCTGGAATTTGGGCAGGCTGATCCCAGAAGCCTGCTTTTGCCCACCAAGTAGTGGTGACCATCACAGGTCAGATTGCTGTCTGAATAGCTATATGGCCTTGGGTGGGGGTGGTGGCAGAAAATAAGGCAAAGAGTGATATTCCAGTAGACACTGATGAGCGCTGGTGCTGGGTTGGGGAGGTGGCCGTTTCACCAGCTAGTAGGTCAGGCAGCCCTCTGTGAAGGTGAACTCTGGGCACTCCTAGGTGGGAAGGTGAAAGGGTCACAGAGAGTGCGTGCAGAGCCTCCTGCAGGCAGAGGTCACAAAGGGTGAACGGTGAGTGAGCTGGTAGGTGCAGCAGGCGGGGTAGGCGGTGGCAACGGAGCCAGTCTGAGAGGGAGGGAAGAGCCACAGTGCACCTGCGAGGACCTGAGAAAGCCTTCAGATTTCATTGTCTGGTGACAACACTCTGGAGGGAGCTAAGCAGACAACAACTTGATCAGGTGCATCCTTCTGCTAAAGACTGCCCAGGCTCTGTGTGAACACAACAAGGCTCAAGAAGGCAGGTGAGAGGGCGGCCAGTGCAGCAGACAGCGTGAAGGATCACAGTCGCTACTCCTGCTAGGCCTCTGCTCCAAGGCTAACCTAATCAGGCTTTAGCGAGGTGGCTGGGGAGTCCGCCACATGTCCTATCCTGTGCACATGCTGTGCTTGGATTCAGGAAGGCCTGATGTGAAAGGGAAGCTGCTGAAGTACAAGTGGCGAAGCAGCTTTCCACCAGAAGGAGACCGTGCATTCACTGGGCTCTCCGGAAGGGATGACAAGCAACACATTCCACCAGTTCCGGCAAAGTCCTGGCCAGTGAAGGAGGCAGTCAGCAGCCACACCAGGAAGGTGCAGTTGTCCAGCTGTCCTGGGGAGGGCACCCTCGCCCTGCTCACTGTCCGCCGGCTCCAGGGACGCTCACCTCGGTTTGCAGGGCAGCGGTCACTGCTGGGGTCTTCTGTGTGTGTGTGTGGAGTGGGGAGTGGCACCCAGGTAAGCGCTCTCCCACTGAGCTAGCCCCCAGGGTGGCCAGCCTTTCAAAGAGTATTTCAGAAATATTCACTTTGAGTATTTCAGACCAAAAAGTGATGCAGACAACTAGGGCACAGATTATCTTTTAAGCAGTTGATATTCTGAATGCTTCTATATGAAAGATAAAAGCCTGTTTTGAAAACGCTTGCCAATGTCCACACTGAGAAAAATCCACAGAATTGAATCTGAGTTTATGTATAATATGGATTCAGGTTTCTTGATTTCTAACTTCTGAAGAGCTCATGATATCCCAACTGCTGGTGACTGGGAAGTTCCACAGTTTTCCAAAGGGCAACTCATTTATCTGCCACCTTAAAGCACATGCAGCGCGCAGAGCACTCCTCCTCTGAACTTCCCCATTGTCCTTCATCAACAGTCATTTTCTGGACCTGTTTGAATGCAGTTATCCTACTGCCAGAAAACTGTAGACCTCAGAGTTTGAAATGTTGTTGTGGAAGGGACGGTTCCATTCAGCTGGCCACAGACCCAGACATTCTGCACATTAAGCGCACACTGTAGTTTTTACCACTGCTTTTTGTTTGAATTTTTTTTAGAATCTAACACAAAGAAGAGTGAGGCAGAGACGAGCCTAAGGGAACACCAGCCCAGGAGGAGCCTCCTGGTGGCAGAGAGAGAGAGACCCTGCAGAACTGAGGACTGGTGAGGGTTTCCCCTCCACAAACAGATGACTGCTGATAAAAGAAAAGACACGAAAGTAGAAATGGAGCTTATGGTTTACCTGCTGCTAAATAAAGAGAAAAACGGTGAAAGGGACAATTTTCTTACAAGGTGAGAAAACTACCTGACAGAGGAGTACTTTCGCCTTTGACATTCTGCTTACTCCGGGAGAAGTCAGACAGATCTTACCACCCAGGAGACCAGGCTGCCACGCACACTCCACCTACCTTATAAATGACAAAAGCCAACCCAGTTCAAGGGGACCCCCGCACTTATACAGAATGGAAAAACCCCCCAAAAACCACGTTGGAAGAGTCCTTTACGGCGTCAACGCCCAAGCAGCTGTGCTCTGTGCCATCTGCACTGCAGACCTCTCGCATGCAAGACACAACTGAGGCTCACCACCCCCTCTGCTCCTTGCGTTACGATGGAAAATACTAGGAAAAGGAAAGCATATTTATTCTCTGACATATGTCTACATACACATACAGAGCACTTAACAGAGATGTGGATTTTGAAAAGTCATCGTATTGAAGTTTTTCAGAGTTAAAACAGCAACATTTAGCAAGCTATGAAGTTCGGCTTCCCAGAAGGATGCAGTCCCTGGAAATTCTGTGAAGGTGATACTTTCCTTGATGTTGCCCTTGAATTCTATAATATAACTTATGTTTTGACATTTATATTAGAAAAAGCAAAGAGTTTCCTGGTCTGGTATAAATTGTAAACAGCAAAAGCAATGATGTGCAATCAAGAAGGAAACGTCAGAGCTGACGGCTCCTAATGAAAACCAGGTCATCACCGAACCATCTTACCTGTCGACGGATTATCTCAAGGTCTCTTTTGGCTTTATTCACCAGGGTTTGAATTTCTACCGGGTCCTTTACATTTTTATTTTCTCTGAAGGCATCTCTTATCCTTCTGACAGCATAGGTTCTAAATGAATTCAGAGAAAAAAAGAAAAAGGTGTCAGCATGTCTAAGATGATGCTTTTCAATGAATGTAAGCTTTTCCTCTACAATTAACTGCAGCATATTCCCCATGGATAATCCATTTTGATCTTCGTTAGGGGCACAGGCCATTCCATTGCTATTTTTGGATGACTAAACAAACATTTAGGAAAATAAATCTATCCCAAACGCGTCACAACCAAACTGCAAGCAGCTAATGAAACTCTCCCTAGATTACTGGCTCGTTAAGAGTTCTTCACATCTGGCCTTCCTCCATCAACATGGGTAACTGAATGTTACTGTACAGAGATAAGCTTAGAATTCTGAGGCTTAATGATGTGCTGCAAATGCACAGACTGAAATAGTGACCAGACGTAGTAACTGGCCTTCCAAACTCTGTCCCATCTTTTGGCTCTCACTTGTCTTTCCTTAACACACAATGTAATGCTCTGGGCTTTGGAGGGAAGCATGGTATTATGCCGAAGTGCTTTCTTCATCTTAAAAGTACCTGCATTTGTATGTGTGTGCATGTGTACATACATGCACGTGTACACACATGCACTCCAGCCGGATAAAGGGCACTTGCAGCCCAGAAGAGCATTCAAGCGAAGGCTTTTGAATCAGACAGGCTCGGGCTCCTAGCTTTGCCTCAGCTCCTACTGCCAGTGTGAACTGGGGCAAGCTTCTTAACATAAGGCCACATCTCCGCATCTGTCAAAGATGTGTAATGCTGCTTGGTGCAGCTGGGAGGATGGGGCTTTATTATGTGAGTGTGGACGCTGGCATGAAGCCTGGTACTTAGAGACTCAATGAATGAAGGCTACCCTTACTGTTCTTTGCTCCCCCCTAATGCAATTACTCTCCTCTTTTCATGTCACAGCCTTGCCTTTGTCCCACATCTTGGGGGCACACCTGCGTGGGCACAGCAGACGGAGCAGTCTGGGCAATTATCCACACAGGAGAATCTGGGGCTCCCACCTAGCCAAGCTCCTGCACTCAGTCATAGCCTTTAGCCCTGCCACCCCACCTACTTGGTATTCAAAGCCAGGAGACTGAGGAGAAGCATCCTGAGTCAGAGATGTCAGACACCATTTTCACTAGTCTATAATGATCTCAGATCACTGCTTTTAACTTTAAACACCAGCTAAATAATCCATGCAACACTAACAGTAACGCTGACCAGTAGCAGAACAGAAACAGAGGCAAAGAGAGGCGGAGAGGCATGTCAGGGGGCAATGGCAGGGTGCTGTTAGAGGCACATGGCCTGGGAAATCTAGACTACAATTTTTGATCTAAAGCATGAATTTTTCTAAAGCAAAAAGAAATGCTACCTTAAAAAAGTGGATCCAGGTCTTTTTTTTTTTTTTTTTTTTTTTTAAAAGCAAGAGTAGGGCTGGGGAGATGGCTCAGTGGAATAAGCACTTGCCTGGCAAGCGCAAAGGCCTGAGTTCAACCCCTGGTTCCACAAAAAAAAAAAAAAAAAAAGCAAGAGTAAAACTCTATCTGGTAATATTTGGAGGCATAAAGGGGAAAGAGAATTTAGGAATTCACGAATGCAAGGCACTCCTGAGAGTCTGACTTGAATCCTAGGAGAACCAGCTGGAGAACGTGTAGATGCTCCCCATGTGGTGTCCAAAATGCTACAGTAGTGGAGAGGGGGCAGCTTGCGTGCCTGCAGCCACTGGACTGCTTAGGTGGGACCCATTGGTTATAAAGGGACCTGGGAAACTTGCATAATAAGATATCTTAGATCCAGACTTTACTCACAGGGACCTGCTAACTAACGGGACTTTAGATAATAATTCTAATAGTTTGATCCATACACGAAATTGTTTTATAACATAAATTGAGCCCTGTAAGTCCTTCTGTGAGGATGGGGTAAGTGACTGGATGCAGGACTTCACGCATAGTGAGCCTGTGCTCTATCCCTGTGTGACAGCCCACACACCAAACCCACTGTCTTAATTTTTCACCTGGATGCTACATGGCTTTGGAAAAGCAAACTGTGTCACAGTGGTCATCACCATACTCGTAGAAGCCGGTGACTACCTCGGAATAACTGTAAGGGGAGGAGTACTGCATGGAATGGGGGGGAAAAACAACAAGTTCTTACAAAGTTGAAGAAAATCAGAAAGTTGCTTGAGACTCTCAATACTTTATAATGAATAAACTCAAGGCCCAGAGTACAAAAGATTCTGCTGTTTATTATTTGCCTCCCAGTTCTTCCGAGTCCCCACCTGAACAAATGCAGTTCTAGATTTTGGCATGGACATACGTAAGAGCCAGGGTCAAATTCTGGACACCCTTTTGAAACCATGACTTGGTCTCGGGTTCCCTCCCTGCACTTTGTCCTCTGCTCTCCCTCTTGTTCTTCCTCCTGCGCTACTTAACGTTCAGGGAGCCACCCCTGCCCCCACGCAGGCACATTTCACTGGCTCGGGGCTACTGCATGAACAGCTCATTCTTCAGTTACAGGAATCTATTTGAAATGGTCACACTTTTGTGAAGAGAGACAGATTTCAGTGAGCCCTTACGTCAGTGTGAGAGGGCCAAACCAGTCCTGCCACTGGCCTCGTTGCTGGGTACAAAGCAAAATTATCTATCCTTGAGCACATTCGGGCACCAGCATCTTGACAACCACTGAGCAGGAGCCGTTCAAAGAATGCGCAGAGGTGGTGACAATGAAACGTGGCTGGCTGCTATACAATGCCTGATATCACGATGATACTTTTGGAGTCAGAAGCTCACTGCAATAAAAGATCAAACACAGCACACTGAATACATGCCCCAAGGCAGGAGAGGTGGTGGTGTTATATCCATAATCCTGGGACTCAGGAGGCAGAGGCAGGAGGATTCCCAATCTATGTGGCCAAATCCTATCTCAAACAAAATTCCACACACACAGTGTGCCCAGCTGTGTGTTCAAGGTCTTCCACCGTGGCTCATTCATTTTAACATACATGAGGCTAGTTGAAATCTCCAACACAACAAAAAAGAAAAAAAAAAGAGGAGTAAGGTCGATATGGAAAATGAGCACAGAAAGGTCAATGGCACCACACAGAGGAAACAGACTGCATCTCCAGAAGCAGGCAGGCGAGGTTGTTCACGCCCACGCTGCTGCCCCTCTGGAGGCTTCACAGATTCCCCACTGGGCTTTCCTTGTCTGCCCCAGCCCTTGTCTTTGGGCTGCCAGCAGATCTCAGGGTCCACAGTTGTTCTAAGTGCCTGTCCATTGGCTCCCGCAAGGACTGAGCTGCTTCCTGAAGTGACCCCACTTCTGCAGCTTTCCAGGACCACGGCGGGCAGCGCGGAAAGCTCTTGGTGTCCGAGGTCTCGCCCCGCTTTCTCCGGGAGTCAGTGGGCCAGCTGCAGGCCCCGGCAGAGATTCCACACTTGGTGCTCACATTGCTCGTGTGGCGGCAGTGTGAGCTGGGCAGCTGACGGAATGCCCCTCTTTCGGTCATTCTTCACTGGCGTCCCGTGTGCTGGTGTCTGCTTACGCAGCCCACAGACTCCTCGTGCTCTTCTTGCTTCTCGCTAGCCCCTCGGGAAATGTCCCAGGGATAAGGTAGCGGCACTCTCTCCTCTTCAGGGCCAACTCCCATTCATCTCCGGACGCTCAGAAGAGCAGGTCTTCCTCTGCTGTTGTTAAGAGGAAGCTGCTGAGCTCTAGCACGTTCCCACACTCCACGGGGCAGGGAGGAGAGGCTGGCATGACCCTGGACCTTGCTGTCACTTCCTAATGGGGTCACCTCCTGCATTTTTGAGCCCAAGCCGTCTGACTACTTTACAGTCTGAGCCTCTGTGAACTGTCCACAAGCACCAAGAATTAAGTCTCCTGGGGACAACCTGCTCGGGCCCTCCTTCTGTCCCTTTGTAGGACAGGAGCTTTCTTTCCCCCAGTAAATATATTCTACTCTTAAAAGAGAAAAAGAAAAACAAAACAAAACAAAACAAAACAAAAAAAGAATTAAGTCTTAATATTCAAAGGGCACTGAGAACACACACAGGGCACCAACTTTAGTTAATTAAAAATTAGTGCAAGTTTTTAATAAAAGAGCTTTTAAAATTGCAATTTTCATAAGGCATTGGATAGGCACTCTTTTACTGGGGGTCGTCTGCAAGGCTTTTCTCCTGTTTAGGTGCTGGAGACTGCACATAGGGCCTTCTGGATGCTAAGGCTGACCTCTACCACAGCCCCGCCCTTGCCGACCACCTCGGTCTTCCACTGCTGTAACTCTACAGGCTGGATAGAGGAGTCTACCTTTAGTTATTTCTCTTCTTGGACTCTTGTGTTACCTATGCTACCTACTCCTTCCTAATCTTCCTTTCAGATTCACCATATTTTTTTGGGGGGATTGAACTCAGGCCCTTGTGCTTGCCAGGTAAACACTTATTCCACTGAGCCATCTCCCCCACCCTGGCTCACCCTATTGTGCTGACTTATATGTTGCAATCTCAAAGACCTGTATGTGAACTTCTTTTTTAAAGTTTACTTCTTTATTTGATACAGGGCTTTGCTTTGCAGATTACAGCTCGAGGTAGGACTCACTGATAGATCAGGAACCTGATCTTCCTGTCTCAGGTTTGGCAGCGCTGGGATCGTAGGTGTGTGCCACCAGCCTTCAGGGCCAGCGTGGCATGTGATACTGGGGACTGTCCCAGGCAGGTGCTTAGACTCCTGGGCTATCTCCCCAGCCCTTGAACTCCTTTTTAATAAAGTCTCTGCTCAAGATGTCAGCTATTACACACATGCCACTGGCCTCAATTATTTCTGTAGCTCTCCCTTCTGAGGTCACATGGGTATCACTCAATTGCTTTGTGGACTTTGGACACAAATTCTTCCAGTTAATGCACCATGAACTGAAGCCTGAAGCCACTTACTTTTCTTCCCTCAGAGCAGTATTTCCTCCCAAGGTAGGAGGATTTTTATAGTCACCAGCCCAAGTCAGACAATTTCAGAGATGCATCTGAAATTTCTTCTTT